ATAATTTTATAATTCTTCAACAACACAGCTAATGGAAAATTTCTTGGTCTTGTAAGAAAGTTTCTTGTTCTTGCAAGAAAGACTTAGGTGAGAAAACTATATCTTCAGTTAGAGTGAATTCTTGGAGTGGCAAGCAAAAGAGTAACAGAAACACTGTTTCTGAAGGGAACCTGGGTGAGGCAACCTCAGTTTGCAGGTCACAGATTGTGTGCTTGGACTACATAAATTGTTACTTCTGTTCTCCAATCTCACCTCCGCCACCATCCAGTCCTGCAAATAATAGTAACTTCATTTAAACCAGTGTTTCTCAACCTTGACAATTTTAAGGCATGTGGACTTCAACTCCCAGAATTCCACAGCCAGCATTGCTGGCTGTGGAATTCTGGGAGTTGAAGTCCACATGCCTTAAAATTGTCAAGGTTGAGAAACACTGATTTAAACAGAGTTGCTCACTCTGCTTTTCCCCAGTGCTGTTCTTTGCTTCCATATTAACAACACAACTCTTGGTGTGAAAATGGTAGTAGACAGTGACATTCAGTACAATCTTCATCTTATATGTTATCTATAACAATGCTACTTCCATCCAGCCATTGCAAATGTTATAGAATTGACAAGGTAATTTGTATTTTTACTCTTGATGTTTCTTTTAAAGTGGTTAAAAAAATACCTCTCTTGTAAATATTGATAGTTTTCAATTACATGCAAGTTGTGTCTCTGAAAGTAAGCCAATGGTTCTAAAAGGTTGCATTCTCAGCTTCTTTTCCCATCTTCCATTATTTTTCAAGATCCCAAAGCACTGCATAGAATACATCTATTTAAAAAAAATCAGTTTTTCCTCTTGTCTATTTGTCTTAGAAACTTTGTGCTAATACTGTAATTCTGATTCAAGGTTGTACAGATTTATATATTGGCTCTCATGAATGCTACTTTGTTTCTTTAGGTAAAAGGTGTGAGAGAGCTATAATAAAAGAAACTCAAAGCTCATGACTAAATGGTTTTCTTGGTGCGAAGAAGATTCAAAGCTCCCAATGAAACAAAATTTCCCACAAAACATAGGTAGCAGAATAACAGAGCTGGAAGGGACGTTGGAGGACTTCTAGTCCAACACCCTGCTCAGGCAGGAAAAACTATACATTTCAGACAAATGGTTGTCTAAGATGACTAAGTTTGGTCTAGATGACTAAGTTTAGTCATTTTTGCCTGGGCTTACATCCTCATTTTTCAGAGGAAAGAAGCAGTAGTTAGCTTTGGTAAATCACTGATATTCTGGTGTGCTGAAGGAAGTCAGAACTGATGGACACTTTCTGCACATTAATATTGGAGGTGTTGCATTTATAAAAGACTATGGAAGATTAGTGAATGTGATCCATAGCAAAGAGAAGTGAAACCTTTAATCTCATCAAGAAATAAAATAAAACCTTCAATGGCAGAATTTGATCACATTTATAACATATCTTTTAATATTCCATTCAGGATTATGGGCATTCTTAAGAAGAAATGACTAATATCTTTGCTTTCAAACTCAATCAACCACCCTGTATTTTCACTTTTCTCTGACAGATGACTTGAAGAATTTATTATGTTAGCAATTTTCACAAAGAGCACTAAACCACTTTCAGATGATAATTTTCAGTTCTAGTCAGTTTCCATAAGGTCTGAACTGGTGACCTATGAAAGACTGGCATCTATTAGCAAAACTCTTACTGCAGTCATCCAGTTCTCTGAAAATGAAGTATTACTTTTTTATATATGACATAAAGGCTGACAAAATTTAATATCCTTCTGCAAGAGAAAACGAGAAATATAATTGTTATAATAATGCCTTAGAAATAGGTCTGGGAAAAAGTGATTATTCATTCTGTTCACACACGTTATTTTTTTCACACATAAGTGACTTGGTTAGTTATCTAGAAAGGATTTTGACACCAACTGATCCATATAGAGACAGGGCACAGCTAAATTTCAGACCAAGGGATGCTGAAAAAGAAATCTTAAGAGAATGTAAAGACAAAAAATGTATGAAAGGACATGTTAGAATTAAATTATATTACTTAAAACAATAACAATATATTTTATTCTCCTAATAGCACATCATCTAGAAAATGGGTGGAGGACCAATGGTCCCCTATATATTGGACTACCAATCTAATCACAATTGATAATGGACTGCTAAAAGCTGTCAACGGAAAGATCATACACTTTCTGTCTTGATCTAGAATTAAAGATTACAGATCTTATAAATTTTCTGTAAAAATTGAACTATTATCAAAGTATACAAAGGATGGCAGTACTTGAACATTTTTTATACAGATAGTCCTTGACATGTGACTCTAATTGAGCCCACAATGACAGTTGTGAATTGTTCTGGTTATAAGTCAAGTCATCACATGATTGGACCTGATTTTCCCCCACTTTTTTGTGGCAGTTGTTAAGCAAATACAGCAGTCATTAAGTGAATGGCACAGTCATTGAACGAATCAGTTGTCCCCAATGTGTATTATTTTGCTGGAAACTGCAAGTAAATGCCAGAAACCAGCCAAAAAAATACAACAAATTGCAGTCATGTGACCATGGGATGCTGTAAACAGCTGTAAAGATGAGTCAGTTAACAATTGCCCAAAATGTGATCACATGACTGCAGGTGGTGGTGGTGTGGCCATCGTAACTGAACAGTTGTTAATTGATTGGTTGTAAGTCAAGTTCTACCTGTATTGACCTGTAGCTAGTAAGAAATAATAATATGTTTCTCAGGACCATTAGCTTGTTTGATATTTTCGATGAGGGACTTTCTGCAAACTGTTGTTTTCTTCCAGAAATAATTTCTCTTGCTTGATAACTGTAGACCAGTATTTCTTAACCCCAGCAACTTCAAGATGGGTTGACTTCAACTCTCAGAAGTACTCAGCCAACATAGATTATTATCAGCTATCTATTTGCTTCTCTCCCTCAATGTTACCTCTTTCTTTCCATTCATATACAGTGTTTCCCCCTATGCAGTTTCTCTATATAATTTCTCTTTTATTGAGTAATTGGCCAGTACATAGCTTAGCATTCATTATTTCATCAAATTTCTTCTGTTTTCCTAAAAGCCTTGCTAAAGTGGCCTGACTTTTGTTATCTATCTGATGATTTTCCTGATGGCAGTTGCAATATCAAAGCTAAGGTGAAGTTAATAAGTAGCTGTTTAATATAATTAAAGTATTAATGATAGATGTCTCAAAGGTGCTCTTTTTTTTTCAAAAGGCAACTGGACTGTTTTTCTTTGAGGAGGAAGACACTTCACTTCTCATTCAAGAAGCTTCATCAATTGTGACTGGATGGTGGTGGGATGGAACGATAGATTCTGACAGAATGGAGAGGGTGGAATGGAAGGATTATATTTCTTTGCAGTCATCTAGTCGTTAGCATTCTCTGAGAGCCATTGAGGCCACTTGGGAGTTTATCTATGCTGTGAATATGTACCTTTAGGACACAATGCTCTATGTATCTATTCAGAAGTGAAGGAGAGGTAAAAAACTGCAGAGAAAATATAACTGTAGAATATAGATGTAAGGTGAAATATAAGCTAAGTTTCAGAGAAGAGATATTAGTAAGCATAAGGAAGAGACCTGAACATGTGTAGAAGAATAGCAAAAAACTTACTTTAGCACAGGAAACAGTGAATGAACATGCCAGTGTTGGCAAATAATCTTAGAACACTGAAGTGTGAGAACTATGAAATACAAAAGGAAAGGCATTTTTGATGGGGAACAGAATTTTATAGAAATATACAGAAAAAAATCCAAATTAACAGTAATGATGATGGCCCAAAGAATCAATCTGGATTAAAGCCATTTGTAAAATAAGATTTTAGAAATATAAAATGAGATTAAGTAGTGATTTCTTCCTAGGAGTTTATACAAATGTCTTTGAGCTATTGTCAACAAGTTGTGATGTTATCTTCATTCATAAAAAGATGTTTTACCTAAGTTAAACAAAAATGACAAACATTGCAATTTTGTAAATCTGCATTTTTGTAAGTATCCTGTTTAAGAAAGCACACTTTTTTATTTCTAATCTGGATATGATGTTCAATGAGGAGGGGAGATAATCAAAGGAGTTATTGGAGGGCAATGATCTAACTCTAACTCTAACTCTATCTAACTCTATTGACATTAAGCTAAACAGTGTTAAACTTTCATTACTCTACTAAATGTTCATGGTCATTACCTGGCTTATTCCCAAAGGCAAATAGGATTGTGGTCAGTCATGAAGTGCCATGGTCAACATCAAATCAGTTTCAAGGTATACATTCTACATTGGACAGTATTTTTTACCAGCCTTAATATGCATTTCTCATTTCACCATACTTTTACAGCTTATTAGCACTAAATATTATTTTAAGGCAAACTATAATTTATGTTAACTCTTTACGGAATTTAAAAAAAACAAGTATTTTAAGCAGTCATGAAAGCAATAATGCTATGTAGGGGGAAGACCTAGACTCAAAATATTTTTTCACTATGTAGCATCCTGAAAGCAATCTTGCAGTTAGTTATCTCAGACTGAATTTATTTCCTTCATTTCTTACTTAATACCTAGAAGTGCCACATTATGCAAATGCCTATGGATCAATTATTCTTAACTGCAATAGTGTTCATGAGGCATATAATTTTTAAAAAGTAGAAATATTCCACACAGTAGTTAAACATTCTCTTCCACTTATGTCAGTTTCTTAGATGATTTAAACCCTATATTTTTAATTTAATCTGTATTAGTGATGTTCATAAATTGTACCATTAAAGTATCTTCCAAGGACTGCAGTTTTAAGATCCAAGAAAGATAACACAACCTTATTAAAATCTTTTAAATGCAAAATTTATGCATCACCATTTTTTTTGCTCCAATATATTTGTGCTCATTTAATTTCTGAACCATGGTGTCCTTTCCCCAAGACTAAAAACAGTGATTTTTTTTACCCCCTTATTAAACAACCAGGCTTAACACAATCACCTTTTAAATAATGATTCAGGATTTTTTTTTATTCATTTAAATTTCAGTATCATTACAGAAAATGTTATGGTACAGAGTTGTTTAACATTAGTTTTTATTTCTTATTTAATTTCCACATGAATGCTGGTAACACTAATATCTGTACAAGATCAGTCTTTGATTTTTTTTTTTTAAGATTTTAATTCTGTACATTTTAAATGTATTGGTTAAAAAGGCTGTCAGCACTTAAGGAAGCAATTTTTTGTTGTTGTTTGTTTAAACAAAAGGTATCCAGTTACTGCCCAATAGTACTGAGCTGGGTGGCTGCTGGGATGACAGGTATCCCTGAACGCGCAGCAAGGAGGAAAACCTTGGGGCTTGATCGGGTTCCCAGTGCAGCCACTCTGCTTTTGGCACTGTGCACATCAACACGAGATACGATAAAGAACAAGCAGAAGCTCTCGGTGAAGCAGTTATGAAGCATACTAATAAGGGAAAATCCAAGTGTTGTCTACACTAGTATAAATAAGCAGACAGCCTTGTTTTAAGAGCATAAGTAGTTGAATCTTAAAGATGAGAAAAAACACAAGTTCTGCAGGCACCTACCGCTGTCTACTAAAAGCTACTGCTATTGGAACTAGCATTGAACACACAAAGCAATTGCAAGAAATGAAAAAGTTGCTTTGATATAATCAGAATAAATTCTTTTAAGATTTGTTTTTGAAGTTTTTTTTAAAAGGTATTTATTTAAATCCATTTGAAATATAGTTCAAGGTGTTTATACTGATCAACTTTTATCCAATTCAGAAAAACTAGCTGTGCCGTTGCATATTACAGGATACAGTCAATGATATGTGGACATGCATCAAAACTTTTCTCCTGCTGGTAACATCATAGTCTTCCAATGACCATGACGTCAACCACCTCTCCCTTATGAAGTTCCACATACTGCTCTGTCTTTGGAGGTAGCATCAACAGTCCATTGGCACTGCGCATACTCATCAGACGACTGCTCATCTGATTCCCTAGAGAAAGCAAAAAAGATGCATTAGCAGGGCAAATGTCACAGGCCAAGAAATGAATCACCAGCCTTCCCCCCAGAATTCTGACAGTGCAATATTAATTTCCATTACCAAACAGCATTATAATATGGGGTTGAATTATTCCAATATTTCTCTCATAAAAAGTAACCTTTTTTATCTTAAATAATGATTTTCCTTTTAAGTTATCATCTGAGAACAGCATACTGGCCATGGATATGATAAACCCAAAGGTTAGTAGGCCCAAACTACAAGCTATCTTCTCAAAGAAGTCTTCTCCTGCAGTAAAGCAAACGGATTAAAAAGTACCAATTGTGGTTAATACAGTCCTGTATTACTACAACTCTACTGCTGTAGCATTGAGTTTATTAGTGATCAAATCCAGTATTCTTTCTCATTACACCCTCCTAGATTTGATAGGAAAAGAAAGCACAATGCATAACATCATAACTATTTCTCTCCTTTTAGAGATATGCAATTTTTTTTATTTTGTAAGCAACATAGCCACGAAGAAGCTTACCTTATTTTATTTTTGTAATCCAAAGTGGATTAAGTTTCATGATTAGGTCTAATGCCTATTGAAAGCTAAACTGATACTTATCTCTTCATCTTGTGGTAATACATTCCAAGGATTAATTATAGTAATTATTATGTTACAGAATTTAAAAACAGATGGTGAAAAAGGGATCCACATTTAAAGTTGCTGTTAAAATAAAATAAATGGAATGACATTTCTAAAATAATACTATTACAATAAACTTCTTGGAACACAAATCAACATTTAGATATTTATCTGGTTTATTTCTAGGATGCACTGGTGATAAGCTGACTTTTGCATTGGGCAACACATGTCCAGTTTGTCAAGATGCAGTTCTTCTCTTTTCGCAATACAGTAATGTTACTGCAAAATCATCTCTTCATCATTTTCAATTAAGGACTTTTCAGCTAGGCTTTTTTCTTTGAGAGATACTTGGAAAAATAAGAAAAGCACGATTAAAATATTTTTTCTTTTACATGGGAATATAGGAAACGTCTTCATTGAATCAGACCTTTGGTCTGTCTTGCCTAATGCTGTCAGTGCTAATGGATTTTTCTAGGATATTATGAGGATTCTTTTCCATTAATGCCAGGTGACGATGCTGGGATTGAATCTGAGAATTTTTGCAAAATGTGTGTTCCACCCTGAACCATGCATCCTTTACGTACAAAGTCATTTAAAAGTATTCAAGGGTTGATGCTTAAAGTGGCATTTTCTTAACATAAATGATAAATGATCCATTACAATAACTAAATCACAGTTTCACATGCTTCTAACAAGACTACCCAAACAGCTTTCTAGAGAGGTACTACCAACAATCTTTTCAACGGCAAAACAGATTCCGTAAATGTACAAATAATAATTTATTATGTTCAATAGAGAAGGCCCAATTAAAACTTTAAAAGGTTACTGCAATGTTTGAGACTTTTAGTCCTCTAACATAAATATGGATGGAGAAGGTCAGTATTTACAGTAAGTCTGGCAATGTGAACATGCGCACATATAATCGTTCTTAAAATTGCATTCTATAATACAAATATACATACGTGCATATTTCCAGTGTATATAAATTACAAACTTAGCATTTTTATTTCAGAAGGGGCATTTTTTTGGGTTAAATGGGAAGTTACAGTATGGCAGCCACAAAATCACTTTTACAACCACTTGTACCTATTTCTGTGAGATTCTTACTGTATGGTAAGGCTGTACATTTAATGAGGTGCTTTGCTTGTGGGAAAAATGTTCTCCTGCATCTACTCTCTAACCCTTTGAAACAGCCATGCTGAAGTTTTGACTCTGCCTGTTGGATGGTCTCAAGGAATGGATTCAGAAAAATGTTTGATTCAGAAGTTAAGGGTCTTGTTGAATTATTTGCAATACCTACCAATTGTGACTGGAAAAGGAAAATATGGGATGATAATAATAATTTATTAAACTTGTGTGCCACTCAACTCTCAGTGACTCTGGGCAGCACTTTATATGATATTTTGACCAGCAATACAGGTTATAGTAGTAGGAGGGATAGTACCATCTTAAGAACAATAGCATATTCTTGTAATGTATTTGTTTACTTCATGAAAAGTTGGAAATCTAAGAAAAATATGGTGCTGTGAAATGCTTTCTTTCACAAAGAGAAAAATAACTGAGTTATATTTAAAAGGCAGAATCTGGGCTTGGAAAATCAACAGGTCAGGCCTGGTTAGTTCTTGGAGGTGAAATCCCAAGACTGAAAACTATTCTGGAAGAAGGCATAAGCAAGCCACTTCTACGTTGCTGCCAAGTACGCTGCAGGTACATGTCCATGAATCATTAGCAACTGGGCTTTACTCAAGAGAACCTTTACATGAGCTTTAGAGTAAAATGCTACAAAAAACAAGATTCTAATGAATGTGAACTTACTGTGATCAAGCTGTGTGTTGTTTGCATCACTTTTGCTCCTCCCCCATTTAATTCATTTTCTAATAATAATAATAGTAGTAAAGTTGGTAGGGACCTTGGAGGTCATCTAGTCGAACCCCCTGTTCAGGCAGGAAACCCTACACCATTTCGGACAAATGGCTGTCCAGTCTCTTCTTAAAAACTTCCAGTGTTGGAGCATTCACTGCTTCTGGAGGCAGGTTGTTCCACTGGTTAATTGTTCTAACTGTCAGGAAGTTTCTCCTTAGTTCTAGGTTGCTTCTCTCCTTGATTAGTTTCCATCCGTTGCTTCTTGTCCTGCCTTCAGACGCTCTGGAGAAGAGCTTGACTCCCTCTTCTTTGCGGCAGCCCCTGAGATATTGGAACACTGCTATCATGTCCCCCATCGTCCTTCATTTGGGAAAGTCTGTCTAGCATTTTGCACATAGCATGCCTTATTGCTTTTCTTTTAAGCTTATTCCTTTTTATAGTCCTTGAATTGTTTTGGAACAAAAAGTCAAGAGCACCAGAAATAATGATAAGCAAACTGTTCTCCTTTGGTAATGATGCCAAGAAGAGGTAAAGAAGAAGCACATGTGTATATTGCATTTCTGCCATCCTGGATTATCACTGTGTGTTGCTCTTCATTTGGATTATTTTAAATAAGATTTTTAAACAATGAAGAGCAACACACAATGATAACCCAGGATGGCAGAAAATGTGTATACACACTTCCTTCTTCTTTACTTCTTGGTACCGAGAAGCATTTGCACCAAAGTGTAAACAGCAAGTTAAGCTTGTTTTAGTTTTCAAAATGATCATTTTCCCCAAGTAAATAAAGAATCCAGATCCAAAATTAAAATATCAATTTCATTCTCTAACCAGACAGCTGGTTCATGAATTTTTGTATCATTAAGCACCAATTTTGTTAATTAAAGGAAATGATATTTCTGACAGTCAAGAAAATCTTTCAATTTTATATATGTAAATAAAATATGTTCTTCTCTCCCCCAAACCTAGATGTTTTCTATAAGAAATAATTGATGTCAAGACTTCAAAAGACACATAGATCCTGGATCTAAGCTGCATCAATTATATAGTATAATTGAATATGCTATGATATGTAATGGAGACTGAAACAATCAGAAGATGTTCATGCTTCTTGCTTATTTTATAACTGGGTGAGATTCATGAGCCTAATTTGAAGCAGGAAAGAATAAAGGCTGAGGAGAGGAGTTCCTTAAATGTTACATGACGGTTTATGGTTTCAAATAAACCATATTCAAAATTAAATGCTATTCAAAATTAGAGAAAATACCAATTATTTGTGTTTTGTTACATATCAAGTTTCAAACGTGTGAACCCAACAAAAATTGCAAAAGGTAGAGGTTGTAAGCACTAACCTGTACTTTGTGCCCAAGGCAGTGGTTCTTGGTGATGCCAAGTCAGTATGCACCGATGGTATTCTGGACGAGGGTCCAATTTTACATCACATGATAACTGTAGAAAACACACAAAGTGAATACAATGACATTAAGACAGTTAAAATGCCCCTCTCCAAGGGCCCATATTTAGCTCGCAGATGCAAATAACATGTATAAAACAAAGAGAAGATTAATTTGATTAGAGTAGACCAGATATATATACATGGGTTTTGCTCCAAACTTCACTCTTAGTATCATATGAGTTTATCCTATCATACTTCCTTGGCCCTTTCCCCAAACAATATTGTTTGCCAATGGAACTTGTGACATTCCAAACCAAGCAAGGTTTGAGAAAGAAAGACAATGGAGTAAATATATTTCCATATAAAAGCCATTTTAGCTATAATTAATAAAAAAGCTATCTATGGAGATTCTCAGTCATCCAGATCATGGTTGTCCCAAAGTTGCTTTTTCAAGAGGCAACTGAACTTTCTTGTTTTTCTTTGAAGACATTTCGCTTCTCATCCAAGAAGCTTCTTCAGCTCTGACTGGATGGTGTGAAATGGAAAGATTTATACTCATTGCAGTTTTTACCTTTTATTTGAAAACTCTTAAAGGATCCAGAATTCCTTGCATCTTTCTCAGTGCTGTGACAACAAAAAGATTGCAGGTAACAAACACAGGGTTCCCTAAAGGCCAAGATGTTTTGGTTTGAAAGGGGTCAAAGAGGCCATCTATGTCAAAACTGAACAGCCCTCTCTCAACAGAAGGGGAGAGATACGACTTCATCTATCTCCAGTCTACAACACAGTCCTTTCAGCAATTCCAAGAGGGCTCCACAACCATTTGCACTACTCAAGGACACAGATAACCTCCAAGTGGCCTCAATGACTTTCTAAAAGAATGCAAATGACCCAGCTGTCTGCAAGGAATATAAATCCTTCCATTCCCCACCATCCAGTCAGAGCTGAAGAAGCTTCTTGGATGAGAAGCGAAACATCTTCAAAGAAAAACAAAGTTCATTTGCCTCTTGTGAAAGCACATTTGGGATAGCAAAAAAGCTATGCAATCTGAAATTGTACACAAAACTGATAACTGTAAAATACAGAGAAAAGGAATTTAGGAAGATTCTAAGGCACAGGAACAAATAAATAGTTTTTCTTTCTTAAAAAAATAGTGGAAAAATTTCAGTATTTTTTTCTGAAATTTGGATTTGAGGGAGCTGTATTAATCTTTATAAACTAAATTCAAGTTGCGATGCCATTATCACTTTGCAAACATTATTTACACTGCTGATTTCTGTAAGGAAAGTTAGATAGCCCTTAGTTTTTGAAAGGTTGTTGGGGAGGAAACAGCTATCCATTACTGACATTCCTTGAGCAAGAAACTATTCAGGGATGAGCTGTTCTTTGCTTTTTATCAGTTGTTCCAGGCCCACAGAGACTTTAATCTTCCTCTTGGCCTAAAGGGAGAAGACTAGGAGGGGCAGGAAGGGAATCTTACTTTAAGTCTATGTAAAATTCACTTATGCCTCAGTTGGATTTGAAAATGTTGTCTAACAATGATTTGGAGGTGTAGAGATGACCAAGATTCTGAACTGTGAATTTCTTTCCTTAGAAGCAAATTATTCCTCATATCCTTATCCTACTGACAAAATACAAGCACCCATATTCTATCACAAATAATACAAAAGTAATCAATAGTAAGATCAATATCTTACTGATCAAATACCGTCCAACCTCAATAGTTATGATTCATCTTAAATGCATTTCTTTAATGCTTTCTCTTTTTACAATACTTCACCTGAATTCTTTGAACTCTAGGCTATTTAAAGGTTATTTCTTCAGCTCTGAGATACTAGTGCAACTAAGTAGAGCACCTCAAAACTCACCTTTTATTTGAAAACTCTTACCCTGGCTTTTATAATAGTTGGACGAGGATCCAGAATTCCTTGCATCTTTCTCAGTGCTGGGACAACAAAAAGATTGCAGGTAACAACTGCTGACACAGGGTTCCCTAAAGATCAAGAAACAGTTATTTGATAAATTACTTGAGAATTGTTTCAAGAATAAGAACATTTGTTACTTTTGAACTAAATTGTGCTTCATATCAAGAGTCTTTCTAATAAGTGTTTTCAGGAATATTTGATGAACTGAGGAGCAAGAATGACTAATAGCACAGTGGATCTTAAAAAATACACTTTTGGTTCAGAAAAATAAGAGCATTGTCACTGTTGCATATGGAAGATATAATTATACTTAGCATGACTAAGATACTTGTAGTAACGAACATGAAGATTTGGAACTTTTGGTTTAAAATTTGTTTGGTATTTATGAGCATGAAGGAAGAGATTTATAATTTAATATATCTTACCTGGGAGCGCGAAGATGATTTTTCTTACCCCATCAATATCCAAGGTTGCAAAGGTTGTAGGTAACCTAGGAAGTGATGCCGATTGTTGAAATAATGAACTAAATCCTTATTTATCAATTTTGTCAACAACATTAAATATTTTTGATTGCCTCATTTTTGCTGTCTTCAACATCCTTGGAAAATGCAATGATTCTCATAAAATACTACACAGGAACTAAAATGTGAATAGCACTTTACAATTACATCATTTTTCCCATTAGAAAGCCAGATTTTTAGCCAATAAAATCCAACAAATTGGCAATATCTTGTTTATTGTATGACTTATTTTTTTTAACATGAATTCATCTTTGTTATACTAAATTGTCCATTTAGACAACTGTTTTCATTTGTAACCCAATTATTTACCAGATGATTGGAGCATATTAATAATAATGTTCCAAACTGCTTGTTCGCTATATCCTCCAACTTCACTTTCCAGTGTTTAAGAATTATATTCAATTAAGTTCAATGAGATGCAATTAACATTCCAAAGATGAAACACTTTCAAAGTGTTTTACCTCATTTGTTTTTTATAAAAAATAAAGTGCAGCTGTATAATTTGGAAATAAATCAATGGGATGCAATCACAAAAACAATTTACTGCAAAGGGATTTAGCTTTCATATGCACAATTAAGAGAGATTTATTATAGATAAAAAGTAATTGGAACTGAAAAACAAAAGGAATTTGAAAATGAATTGTGTAGACATGATGAACATGTGATTGTTAAAATGTATCAATCACTTTTTTCAGTGACCTGTAACTTTGAACAGTCACTAAATGAACTGTTGCAAGTCAAGGATTACCTGTAATGATGAAAATTTAATGAGGGAGAAGAGTAAGTTTACTACTCTACACAAGGTCAGAAACTATTTCTTTATTTATCTTTTTTTTGTAGTTCTTACTTTTATTTTTTCACTTCACTAAAATTATTTTTAAAAAAGGAAATAACTCAACGGGAGCATCTTATCCTGTGTACGTGATTAAGATAACAGTCTGACTTCCTAAGCTGTAATCATGTGGCTAATGGAAAAGTGAAACCAGAATCTTCCTGCCCACTTTAAGAAAACAGAATACACCATACCTGCTACCTTTTGAGAAGTCAAATAAATGTGGATTCTTACATCAAATATTAACATGAACTTTGAATAATGGCTGTATGTTTTGGATTAGTATGTTTAGTATTTGGATATTTAATATATGAGAATGCTGTATGAAGAAATGCTACTTGTTGAAATTATACACTACTTTAATGAAAATATGGGTCTGCTTACTTTATTTATTCAGTTTCTATATCTGGCCATCTCAATCAATGACTACTTTAGTGGCATCCGTTCATTTTCTCCTCTATATTATTAAAGGTTGTTTTATTTAGTGATTTCTAGTAATCACTAACAATCACCGAATGTTTATAAGCACTAGAAAGTGTTGTTATAAAAAAATATTTGAGGAACCCCTGAAATGTCAATTTATATGAATTAGTAAATCATAATACCTGATAAGCTTGGGTGTGTGAGAAAAATAGAGGAAGAGGGAGAAGCTGGAGGTAATGTTGGAAAAGGAGGAGAAGAAATTATCTTTTTCTGAACAGATATTATATTTATTATATTTAATACAAATATGTGCAACGCAAAGGATATTTTGAAAAAAAAAGGAAAGGAAAAATGACAGCTTTGCACTACTGTGTAGTTCTAAAATGCTCCACTCTTGGGCTGAGGCCACAAATATTTGCTCTAATGTAAGAACACAAACCCCCTACATTCAGGTCAGATCATCAGTCCTCCCAGGGGTGTGTAGTTCAGGCATCAGACACTTTCATATCATCAGCCATCTGAATGTTTTAATGAAGGGAAGAGTGGGGGAGTCCAGTCCTTCCTGCTTCTTGTTTTGTTAAATAAATCTGATTCCAGATTTATGGAATGTTTTTCCCACGATAAATTCATTAGGTTTTGGTCTTCCTTTGGCCCTTTCAGTTTTTCCTATTGTTTGTCATCTAAGGCACGGCTTTTCAACTTTTTCACCCATTGTACAACTTTTAGGATATGGCAACATCCGAGTACCACCAGTCGCCTAGCAAGGTGTCAAAAACATGATGACCCCCCCCAAAAAAGGAAAAAAGTAATAAAGTACAGGTAGTCCTCGACTTATAACAGTTCGCTTAGTGATTGTTCGAAGTTACAATGGCACTGAAAAAAGTGCCCCCCAAGGCACAGCCGAGAAAGACGCCTGCCCGCCCGGCGGCGCTCTCATTCCCCTCCCCCGCTACTTTTCTAGGACGGTTGCGTACCACCTGCCAGGTGCCAATGTACCACAGGTGGTACCCGTACCACTGGTTGAAAAGCCCTGATCTAAGGCATCTTGATAAATTTTTGGTATTTACAATGTTTACCTTGTAAGACAACTATGAATGTAAAATGATCCCACAAAGAAAAGCCGGTCAAAGACATTTACAAACATAAGCACACATCCCAGTTCTCCCACTTTGCCAACCTCTGATTGCCAACTCCAGTTGAAACCAGTCACGGAGTTTATTTTTCCCCCTCTAAATGTATCTGTATATGCATATGTATGCATATGTATGTTTGTATATTTATCTATGTGTGTGTATGTATGTTTGTATGGATTTACCTTAACTGAATCATTGCTCATTAAAATGAATTGCCTGTAAAAGTGTCCTGTTTACCAAGCTGACTGATCCCTGCCTGCCTATGCCAATCATTCTCTCAATTAAACAATTCCAAATAAATGCATCTCTTCCCACTGCTTTCTCCTGGTGTGAACAGCAAAAAAAGAAGCAAAACATTCTACACATGGAAAGAGAAATGAATGAAAAAAAAAGAGGAGGGGACATAAAATTAAATGAAGAGGAACTGAGCTGACCACTCAGGGAAAGAATGAGAAAGCCTTGTTGAGGTATTACAAATGCTGAGCAGGCAGGAAGCCTTCTCAAACAATCTAAGTTAACATTCAAAAGCATCTCTGCTTTTTAAAAAGGAGCTCCAGTATGACTGGTACTACTTCTTCATTCTTTTGTTTTCAACAGGATCTTCTATCTTAACAGGAAATGTAAAATGTTCTTCTGCACCATTAATTATATGGAGATATCTTACTAGTAATTAGCATGATTACTTAGCAGCACCTGTAGTGGAATAATTTTGGGGGGAAAAGGAGCAATGTAATATTTCTTATTAGAATATGCTTTCTCTGGGTTATTAAGCAAAGTATTAAGCTCTCAATATTGTACAGATTATATACAAGACTAATGCTACATAAGAAACATTACTTACCCTGGTTTCATAAAAACCCTGCCAAAATGAATCTGGGCATGAAGATCAATATCCAGCACCTGTTTAAGATAGTCCTATTTGAAAAAAATAACAACCCCCAAACCCAAAAGGGATTCAATTAATTATTAAGATATTTGTAAGATGAACCATCATCCAGTCCTAGAAAGCTAAGCAGGCATAGATCAAAGACATAGATGATGTATTTATTTCAAGAACAGGTAACCAGAATTTGCAAGCTAAGATAAAGCACTTGTAAATCCAAATGCAAATCATCTATGCAAAAGATCACATCAAACATCTAATAAATGCTGTTTTTCCTACAGTTTGGGAGAGGGCAAAGTCAGAAAGGGGTTTTTTAATTAAAAAAATCCATTTCATCAACTTCCCAAGACTTGTTTCAACCCTACCAACAGATTATTCAAATGCTTGCAGATCTTGGCAAAAAGAGGTTGCATATCCCACTTCATTTAATTCATATATCATTTCCCCCTCAAATGGTGTTAAATGATACCAGTATAAATATCCCTATATAACAACGTAATAAAACTGGTAACAACATCAAAGGGCATCACAAAAGTGTAATTTTGCATAGATGAGGGAATACTATTGTTTCTTTATGAAGAGGGGTATCAACTGCTCAGATGTTTCTGAAATGATTAGTGTATCTGAATCTTTTTTATTTTTGAAGTTTATCCAACATACTGTTCCTCTAAAAAAGAACGGCAGGTAACATCACCACCCAGAGCTTTTAGACTTTGTATAGATGTTGATAGTGTTTGGATTTGTAGCAGGAAAGATTGCTTTGAATTTGGCATTAGCAACCAAGATGCTTCTTAAAGAAGCCATATCTTTTCTAGATACTTCCATGGGCTCAGAAAAGAAAGCATTTGAAATAAAGAGATGGCAATAAGCTGTCCTGTAAGGAGCAATCAATGAGAAGACAAAGGACACCCATACTGATTCTGAACACTTGGCAGTTCTACAAGGCTGCTGTCCTTTTGATGACCTTAATATCAGGTCCTTTAGCTCCATTTTGGTGTCCGAAGATTTCCCTCTGCTATTATCTATTTCTTAAGGAGTTTTCATCTCATTATTTTATTTTAAACTTATAACTTTGATCCAATACCATTTACTGCACATACCTTTTCTCCCATTGACACGCCCCCTGATGTGATGATGACATCAGCACGGCTTATTCCTTCATTCAAGGCATTAAGTAAATCATCTGGGCTGTAGGATGCCAATATTAAAATAGATTAATGGTAATATATGTATGGATTTTTATGTACTTCAAAGGAAGAGGTACAAAAAGTTACAAGTTTTCATTTTCATCAGTGGGAAGAATATAAATTTCAAGAGCAAGACAACTGAGAAATCATAATAGGAGGCACAGATTTTTGTATATGTACTGGGAATACTAACTGAATAAAGGAGAGATTTCACTGGCCTGCAATAAGCTATTTCAGGCTGACTCTCAAGAGGAAAATAAGGCCACTTCATGGTTACACTACTATAAATTAGTTTGATGGGAAATAGGAGAAAATTAAACAGCAGCCAGAAAATGAGGAAAAGAATAAATAATAATCTTTTAGAAATAAAAATCTAGTCTCCAAATTCTCAGAATTCGTACAGAGCCCATGCAATGAGTTAGATCTGTGATATTTGTGGCTTTTCACTCCTACTCCAGAGCTGTTACTAGATGCAACTATTCTTCTCAGACTGAGCTATTCATGAAGTATTTATGGCTACAGACTGGTCTTATCAGCAGCTGACAAGATCCAATCCACAGCAAAGAGTCTGCTGCTGATCTACTAAATCTTATAGCCCTATTTCTTCTCATTAGTTACTCTTAAATTATTATTCTTAAAACTTGATATATAAATTTAACTGGCTGTAATAGGCACAATATATCTTAAGAGATGTTTTGGATATAATACCTACTACTGCAGCTAATTAACAATAGGCCCTGCATTATAGAGGGTCCCCTTTAGGCAGACAATTTTGTATTTTCAGCCTTATGCATTGCATAACTGCCTTTTTCCTGCCACAACTGCCGCCCATATTCTTTTCATTATGAGATGGGTGGCAAATAAATTCATTACATACATACATACACACATACATACATACATTCCATTACAACAGTTTTATTCTTGACATGTTAGTGTAAAAACAACAAGGAAAATGAAAAAAAATATCTGTTAATCCTTGTAAAAAATATGCTGAGATTCTACAATATCATATTTTAATTCTTATCATAGCATCACTGTGCCCACTGGATTAAAATGGGATTTGCTTTTGCTGTTCTGACATTAAACACATTTCCTCGAGAATAAGCACAATTTGATACAGAAAATAAATTTTCTTTTAATGTTATGGGCATTAAATAAAATGAGCCCATTTAATCATTTAGATTAAATCCCTGTGAATTTTTTTTAATAAAAATTCTGTGAACTAATGCTGACCTTATTTGCCACTGCCCCATCATAAGCAGTCCTCTGGGTGGTCATTTGTCCCTCCTCCTGAATTACTGAAACCTGGATGCCAAGATCCAGATCAATAGTCTCCAATGACCTTTTCTTCATTCCATACATAATGTCAGGCTTCTTCTATCAGTCAGGACTGAAACTAGTTTATTACAAGAAACAACTGTTTCAGAGATCTGATTAATAAGATTTATTAATAAGACCATAGTAATAGCTCAGTCTTTGCTCTCAGGCATTGCTCTGCTTCTCCTTCTCTGAGATTCCTTTTTAGGCTGAAAGAAGCTTCACTACAATCTCAGAGTATTACTTCAGTATTTATTGGTTCTTATTTTGCTTTTGCTTTTCTTCAGGCTGTTCACAGATGTTTCTGCTTCTCTTTATTTAGTCCCTTGACATCCCAGCTAATACTCTTTGCTGTCATCTTTTCAGACTTGTGTTTTTTTCTTCCTTCTGATAAAATTATAGTCTCCAGGCACCCACCTCAGTTTCTGCAATGACTCCCAAACATGCCTACTTTATATGGATAACATTTCAAAAATTCTGATGATGATAATATAAAAAAGTAAGTACTCTGTCATAAAAGTACCTGACAACTAGAGAATCTTCTGTTTAGATTTTTTAAAATGTGAAGGAAGGGGAGAAAGAGACTTTATTTCAAGCATCTTCCTGGAAAGTCCTACTCAAAGACTGGGGCATTTCAGAAGGCAGTGCATATATGGCAATCTGAGTTATAAGGGAAAGCACTACACACTGCAGCTTTGTCAAAAGATCACACATAATGCTAGCTTTTTCTTTCTGCCATCACTCCCCCATCACACTTACTTCAGAGTAAGAGAAATCAATAGAAAGTTGTAAATTTAAGTAGGAAAGTCTGCTAGTGCAAACTTTAACCTTACAGATATTGTTGTTCCTTTTATCATCCTTTAACCAGAATAAAACCATACTGATGAAGAGGGAAAGTAGGTAGCCAACTCAAAAAGCCACCTTTGAAATGTACTGAATTTCCAAATAGCAACATTAGTGATTGTCCTACATAGCACAAAGCAAATAAAACAGATTGCTAATACAGATCAACATTTCATCCTTCCGTGGCTCAATTCTTCATTTAATTAAAGTAGTGCTAGGAAAAATTATTATTTTATAAGAAAAATGTACTTTTTACAGAACAGATTCAGGGCTGTGGAGTCGGAGTCGGAGTCGGAGGAAATTTTGGGTACCTGGAGTCGGAGTCGGAAAACAATGCACCGACTCCGACTCCTACTAAATTTAGATTGGAATTAAAAAAAAGCAAGTTTAAATGTCCCAATTCACAAAAAGTTATAATTAATGACTTCTCTACTGTAAGAATAAAGACCAATGCATGCAGTGCCTCACGTAACCACAAAACGAACACGTTAAGTGACTGTGAAGAAGCATGCTTTTCATGTGCTTCACTATATGGCACGCAACGCACAATTAGGAGCGGCAATACTTATACTTTCCATAGTGTTGTGTTCTGCTGTTACAGGGAACGCAGCGCCCATGGGTAACCTAGCCTCTCACTGATAAGGGATTAAGTAAATATGTTTTTTGCAGGACTAGAGACACTGGTATAAGTGAAGGGAATGGAGGGTCAATAGTTCAAGACTGAAGCTGTAAACCATTGGAAAAACTGCTGTCATTCAGCTAAGGCTATAAAAACTTGTAAACTCCGATTGTTAGCTTATTAATACAGAGGAGTCGGAGTCGGGGAGTCGGAGTCGGAAGTACAAAAAACTGAGGAGTCGGAGTCGGAACATTTATCTACCGACTCCACAGCCCTGAACAGATTTCTAAAACCAAATTGTGATACCTCTAAACAGACTACATCTGAATCAACAGTGATCTCATCTCACCTAATCAAAGAGACATCATGTTTATTTAATTATTCTATTGTTCCTTCCCTTAATTTGTAAATAAGACTATCAAGCAACTGATAGTGAATTATAAATCAGCAGTATTATGAACAAGCAATACAGATCAAAACAAACAAAAACTCTGAGGCAATGATACAACATCCAAATTAGGCTAGAGAAGCTGATTGTCATTTTCAGGTATCCAGACAGCTGCAAAAGCAGAAAAGCGAGCAAAATTGTTCTCTATAGTTTCTAGCCTTCTCCCATGAAGCATAAGATCACATGGCTCTGTTTAGAATAACCTGGACTCTCCTTGGAAAGGGAGGCTCAGAGGTGTACCTACAGGGCCATGTAGAGGAATTCTCTGAGCATCTAGAGCAGTGGTGGCGAACCTATGGCACGGGTGCCAGAGGCGGCATTCAGAGCCCTCTCTGTGGGCACGTGCGCCCTTGCCCCAGTCCTAGGCCTTCAGCTGGGTTTTATAAAACCTTTTCGCTTTAGGCTTCCGCCGCCATGTGCAAAAAAAAAAGGTTCAATCAATCACTCAATTTCAACTTCTCGTGGGAAAAAAAAAGATCTTGCAAAGTTGGAATTGATTGATTGAACTTTTTAGTCCCACCCAGTCTGCCGTTACCACTGCAGCCACGCCCACCCAATGGGCCACACCCACCCAATGGGCCACACCCACCCGGCACCCGACGATGCATAAGTGGGTTTTGGGTTGCAGTTTGGGCACTCGGTCTCTAAAAGGTTTGCCATCACTGATCTAGAGGATAATATTTATTCCCAGTTGGATACCAAACATGGTGCAAGTTCCGTGGAGATGCCTGGGAAGCAGACTTATCCCAGTTATCTGACAACAGTTTCTGTTGGACCTGAGGAAGTGGACAAGGACCTATGGAATGCAAACTCTATCACCTGTACATTAGATCCAAGCTGGTTAAGGCCATTGGGAGGTGACAATGGTAAATTCATCCTTGTGGGAAGGGCTGTTCCTAACTCCTTTTAAAAAGGCATTGGTGTGGCCCTACTATTATGGACACTTTTCGTTCAGTCTCCCACTTCCTCCTTTTCAGGAAAGGTGGTTGAGAAGATGGTGGTGCTGAAACTCCAGACGATCGTTGAGAGAACAGATTATCTGGATCCTTTCAGACCTGAATATGGAACCAAGATGGCATTGGCCTCACTCATGGATGATCTCTGGCAGGAGTGGGATGGAGGTGGTGCATCCATCCTTGTTCTTTTTGATCTCTCAGTGACTTTTGATACCTTCTACCATGGGGCCAATTTAGGGAATTGGGGAGGGTGGGACAGTTTTGTGCTGGTTCACCTCCAACCTTTGAGGTCAGTCCCAAATGGCATTAGTAGGAAACAACAGATCCAGCTCACAACCCTTGCTTTGTGAAGTGCCACATGGCTCAGTGCTATATCCACTCCTTTTTAACGTCTACATGTAACCACTTGGTGAAATTATCCATCACCATGGTATGAGATCACCAGTACGCTGATAATACCCAATTATATGTATATCTCCATCCCAGGTGAAGTGAATAATGCTATGGATGTTCTTTCACCATGCCTGGAGGCTGTGGGGCTCTGTATGGGGAACAACTAAACCCTGGTAAGATGTTGATGTGACTGTGGGTGTGTACCCAGGAGTTTATCATCTTTGGTCTTGGGTGAGGTGGAATTACCCCAGACAGATCTGGTGCATAGGATCTGGGGTCCTCTTGGATTCACAGCTTCTATTCAAAGAGCAGTTGGCAGTTGTGGCTAGGAGAGTCTTTGCTCAATTCTATGTTGTGTGCCAGTTATGTCCTTTTCTGGATAGAGAAGCTCTCTACTTAGTCACTCATGCCCTGGTCATCTC